ACTTCAAACATCTATAACTGATTCCATTTCACCATTTAATCAGAGTTCCACTGTTGATCTAAAATCCCGTGAGTAAGGAGGCCAATGGAGAGTGGTGAACTTGTCCTTAAGAAACCAGAGATGATTTGTACAGCTTTATGACATGTTGCATTATCCTCCAGGAAGTAGCCTTTGGAAGATGGGAACACTGTGATCCTGAGAGGAAGGACAGGATCAGCAACAATAGGGTGTGGTAAGTAGATGTTGTTACAAAGGGTCCCAATTTTTTGATACAAGGAAAGATAGGTTCATGTTTTCATATTGTTTACAAAAAATCCTGCCTAAACTGAATATCGCAGATGTAATGATGTTTCCTCCAAAGGAAATGGTCTCAGAATAAGAGTTTACATTTCCTGTTCTTAGGCTTTGTGGTGGGGGCTTGATGCAAGTACCACTCCATTCAGCTAACTGCTTTAACTTTCAGAATGTTGCACATTCAGTTAAGACATACCCAATTATGGCTTTTTATTTGAGCACTCTTACTTTTCTGTCATCTCGAATGAGTCCACTCATTTCCTTGCAAATTAAAACATAAGATGGCATTTTGATTCAACTAACTGCTGCCCACTGGTTAATTGTTTTACTTTTTTTGGCTGTGCCTTAAAATACCAGTACATCAGCACTTTCTGAAATATTCAGCCCAACTCATCTGGCACCAACAACCACGCCCCACTCAGTGTTTTTTTATTTATTTATTTATTACTTTTTTCCCCTCTATTTTCAGTGCCAATATAGCACAGAGAATTGTTGTCACCGTGCAAGAATACAGACAAAATGATTTGCTTTCAGAAGTGAACCACCATACGTTTACACTTTGTCAGAAGTGGATTTGATGTAGAAACATAAGCAATCAACAGGGAGATGGAAAGGGAATTAAGAAAGAGAAAGGGGATAAGATTTAGAGGAAGAGAGAGAGAGCAAAAGTGAGAGACTAATTAAGAAAAAAAAACTGAAAATATATAATAACTCCTATGTCTGCATCCACACCAACAAAAATACCAACCATCATAAAAAAGGGTGCATCCCATAGACACACAGTAAATATATGTATACAAGGCAAATGCTATGAAAAGTAACAATGTTATTCAGAGCTACATTTAGTTGAAGCCGCAGCTTAGTATAAGGGAAAATCGTGTATTCGTGAACAATTGGATCCAAACACCTGTGCTGTGTGCAGGTGTATATAAGGTTTATAAGCCTCCTTTAATGCCAGGATATGCTCTATAGAAGGTGTGAGGAGCCCAAGGCCCACCCAGAGAGCCCACGGCTGACACAGCAGAGGCCAGAGCCCTTGATAGCCAAAGGCACCCAAGATTAAAGTGACGGACACAGGGACAGCAACACCCACATGGGCAGATGAGAACCCTGGGTTCAAGGCTCCAGAGGCTATGGTGCTAAACCCCTAAGGAGTTGCAGAAAGAAGCCCACAAGCTCCTAAGGCAGTCAATCATGCCCAAGGCAAACACAGTTGTGAGCCCAGAAACCCAAGGCCCTCAGGGGACACACCTGGACTGAGACTGCACCCAACGCCCAGCACAGAAAGAACACAAAAGGAACAGTGAAAAGTGGTACCGGTCACCAGCAGGGAGCAAAGGAACAGGAGGGAACAGAACCCAATAATGACTCCAAGTCTTGTAAATCTAATCCCAAATCTGTTTCCAAATGCTGATTCTCTGTTGACTTTACCAAAACTACATTTCTTAATCCAGGAATGTCAGAATCCAGTCCCCAAGGGCCAGTGTCCTGCACCTTTCGGGATGTTTCTCTTCCATAAATCAAATAATGCAATCTGGAGAACTTGATTTTAACTGAGGAGGTAATTAAGCTGTTTGTTGTCTATGTGTTGGATCGGGAACTATCAAAAAGCTGCAGGATAAGGGCCCTTGAGGACGTCTCTGTGAATATTCTCAGTCCCTTGAGGACTTGAATTACTGCCCTGTGTTAATGAATTTAGATATTGCCATGTTATAGGTCAATTCGATTTTAAAGCAAATGAACATGTATTGCAGCCTAACAAAGCCTTCAACGACTCCCTATTACTAAGGGGCGGACCTGTTTTTCCAGTTCAATTTGCATGTTTTCTAAGCCAAAACGAGGCTCTGCTTGGCTACTCTATAAAGCTTATATTCAGACATTTTGAATTGAAAAATCTTCCTTGATGGGAGACGAAACGTCTTCAAACTTGGAAAACAAAGTCCAGTGGTTTGGTTTTTAACTTGTTTGGAATGACTAAGACCTGGATGACTTAGAATTTTCACCAGCAAATGAACAGGTGTTCCTTAAACAAAAATATATTACAACAATTAATAAAAGAGATCAAGAACTGTAACATACAGTAAGTGGCCAGAAACAACAGAGAAATTAAAATAGGACACCCATTTGTCATACAGCTAGATTTATTACAGCCAACTCAAAACAAACTGAATCATCAAAGTGACACTTATATGATTAACAAATTACATTGTGCTATTATTTTGTTAGGGATTATTTTACTTTATACATGTTCCTCTTTTTAGTTAGTGAAACAGGATTTATTTTTCTTTCACTGAAAAGGGTGAAGATGATAGAAGTCTGCAAGCAAATGTCCTACTGGATCAAATGTATTATTACCCTTTAGTGCTACTCATACAAACTTAAGATCAGGGCATAAAATGCTTCATATTTTGAAAAGGGTGATCATCTGTCCCTAAATTATGTGCACAAACAGCACATAATTGGGCATTAAAAACCATATGAAGATTAAATTTCAGCTCTTCATTTTTGTCTGTATTTGTGAAATAATTAACATGATAATATCAAGGAGGATCTAGATGGAACAAAAACATTTAAGCTACTATATTTAAAAATAATCATCACAACTAATTCCATGTTACATTCAAAAGAAATCCCTTTAACAACTCTGTCAGTTTTTAGCATTTAAACCAATCCTTAAATGCAATATAACATTTTTTTTTTTTATAAAAACTTTGGATGTGTTATTGATCAAAAAATCTTTTATTCTTTCTGGAGCTCATTTTTTTCTTATCTTTTTGTACAGTTTCTTTTTCTTATTTTCTCTCCAGTGTTTGCACCTGACAAAATCATGTTGTGCAGTGGGTGCTCAGAAGGACGTGTCAGGCTTGAAAAGCAATGAACTCCATATGAACAGAAGATTATGTCTTTAAGGAGGTGTAGGGTCAATAAACGAGCTTCAGCATTTTATCTCCAAAAGGACAGAAACTGTCTTTTTGACAAACTGCATGAAGATCAACATTGAAACTTTTTTTCTCATTTATTTATTGTATTTGAAGTCATTATGTCTGAAATAAATATCCCAGTTACATGCTCTGTTTTATTGATCAGGCACTCAGTAGCAGAGTAAAAATGCAACAAAATAATTCAACATTTTGAAGTATGTGATTCAGACATTATGAGACTAATAGATAAAGCCTCAAATACCACCTTTAATCCTACAATTAGCATGCAAACAGAAAGACTACATAAATTACTATGTTAAGGCTTTCAGCTAAAAAAAATGACTCGCCAGTACTACAAATAATGGTCATTATAAATTGATTTAACTATTTAAAGTAATTCTCACAGTTAGACACAATACATGCATGCAGCCTCATCCAAAAATTATAAATCTGGACTCCATATTTTGTCATTTTATTATACTTTATGTGATAGACTGACGCTAAGTCATTCATATTTTTAAAGTGGAAGGAAAATTTTTTTTTAAAGCGAATACAATATAATATCCTTTGGCTTTTTTCCTTTGGAGAATGTATTAGCTTTTCATGTCTACAGACTGCAACATGTGCACAAAGGCTGAGGATTTATCAGGCTGGTTGTCAGTAACTTAATTTGATGTGTGGACTTTGACTGGACCAAGCTAACATGCACATATGTTTTATTTAAATCACTCCACCTCTAATCGTATGCCTAGGCTCTTTATTTCACTTGAAGATGTACCTCAACCTTGGGCTATAGTCTTTTTTCAGTCTTTTACAAGATATCTCTGTGGATTTCCATGTGTTTATGCTAATCTTTCAATAAAATATCCAAGCAAGTTGTTATAGTTCTATTTCCATATTTTTTTTCTTACCAGTCTTCGATAAAAGCTGTATTTCTGAAATGTACAATTAATAGTGGTCTTAGGAACATACATACTCTGACATGAGGCATGAGTCTCTGCAGTTCCTCCAGAGACACCATGGGCCTCTTGCTGCTTCTCTTAATGGTGCTTTATTTAACTTTACTGTTAGGTTAGGTGGATGGCCTTACAAGTTTTACAGTTGCGTCAAACTCTTTCTATTTATGGACAATGCATTTGAAAAGTGTTCATTGAGATGCAGCTTTTTTTTTGTTCTACAATTCCTATTTGCAACATGCTCCACTGGATTTGATTTAGAAGTTGTACAGTTTAGGCGGGGGAAAAAAGGTCAGAATCTGCACCCTAACCCTATAAAGGACACTCTACAAGGGTTACACCATTTTGTAGGGGTTTCTGAATGTGTCCTGGATGAAAAAGTGTTCAAATCAAAATGTGGCACTGTGCACCTTAAAAAATAGTGTACATCAATGGTCACTAGACAAGCTGATATATCCCAGAATGCTTTGCAAGAGCTCTCCTCACAAAGCATCATGTGATTTTCTTGCACAAAAATAGTGCAGGCACCGTGAAAGAACCCAGAGTCACATTACCAACAGGGAGAGAAGAGTGGGAGTGTCCAAACAGTCAGTTAACTAAGTTAACTTTAAAGTCCACTATACAGTCGCTGCTCTATACAGTGATTGAGGGGTTAGGGTGGACATTCGGACACAGTCCATGTATCTTCTCTTTATTTCTTTATACCAATTCCCCTTTGATTTACTTCACCCAGTGAAATCCCAATAACATACATAGAAGTGTTTCATTTTAACATGACATTTTCAGGACACTGTAGAGTATGAGTTAGCAAAGTATATCCTGGTTCACATTAGAGATTTGTTGATTGGAAGTCAGTACAATCCTTGTCCTCCTCTTTTTGTTTCTCTCTGTTTTTCGAGGATCTGTATTTGACACCAAGGGGCGTATAACATTTGACCACAGATAAAAAAGCAGTCCTGTAGTTGTTGTTCATCCATCCGTACAGAATGGGATTGACGCAGGTCGAGCACATTGCCATGATGTGGAACACAGTGAAAACCAGCTTGAAGTCGTTCATGTTCAAAACAGTGTTATCAATGTCTATAGCGAGCTGAAATGCATGGAAAGGCAACCAGCTCACAGCAAAGACTACCACCATGGTCAGCATCATCTTGGTGGTCTTTCTCCTTCGCTGGTTGTCATTACGTCCACATGTCATGTGTTTCTTTAGCTTGTTCCAAATGCGAATATATGCAACAGAATTAATAAGAAGAGGTATAACCACCTGAACCACAAGCATTGAGAAGCTGTAGATCTTTCCATTCATACTGCTGTCCGGCCACTTCTCTGTGCACACCTGCAGGGACTCTTCTGGGGAAAGTTTAAAGGAACCATACTCCCTGAAAATGGCAAGAGGGCTAGCCAGTAAGGCACTGAGGGCCCATGAGATGACGATAACCAAAGCACACATATCTTTGGACATCTTGGTCTCCATATGGTTAACGATGCTCCTGTGGCGGTCCAGAGCGATGATGTTCAGAGTGATGGTGGAGACATGTACGGTCATGCCTTGAGCGAATGGCAACAAAAAGCACAACACTTGACCAAACATCCATTCATCGTAAAGTAGGTAGACAAGAGTGAAAGGCAAACACAGCGTGTTCACCAGCAGGTCAGCCACAGCTAAGTTCACAATAAAGAAGTTGGTCACTGTGCGTAGATTTTTGAACTTATAGACAACATAAATCACCAAGGAGTTTCCAGTGACTCCAAAGAGGATAATTGTGCTGTAAGCGAGGATGAGAACAACTTGAACTCCAACCAGTTTTGTGCTGTCATCCAATGTCCAGAGATTCCCATCACTTATAAATGAACAGCAGTTGAAAGGTCCATCTTGGAGAGGAAAATGTTCCTTATCAGTCATGTTTAGTTCATCCGCATTCATGGCTAAGAGTCAACCTGTAGAATAGATATAGGATCATTATTAGGAGAGATAATGGTTAACATAATTTGTTTTTCTATTTTGCAAAACTGGACATAATTTGCCAAAGCTAAATAGGCCCTTAGTAGTCTAAATGGAAAATAACAGGAATTCACCAGCAGTTATCTTCTGATTTTCTCCCCTGAACCTTTAAACACAGTAAAAAAAAAAAAAAAACTGAAATATTCATATTAAACTTGCATATACATACATTTTTTTAAAATAAAACAGGATTTATTAGCAAGGTTTTGGAAGATTAATCTTAGTCTTTTTTTTTTCAGATCTTAGTCTTTAAAGGTAAATAATACAACTAAAGAAAATTTTTTGTTGTAAATAATACAACTACATAATTTTTCCACGGTCTCTAAAAATTTGGAGCAATGTAAATTATCTTAAAATATATATTTACTGCCTCTGCTGAACTGCCTCTACTGAACAAGATCACTTTTTTTCGATCTTAGTTTTTAAAGGTAAATAATACAGCTAAATAATTTTTCACGATCTATAAATATTTAGAGCAATGTAAATTATCTTGGAAATATAAAAACTTTACGGCAGACTTTAAAAAAACCTCATATTATTTACCTGGAATTTACAGAAATAGGCTGTTGTGATTTGTTGTTTTTATGCTAAACTGTGCTTATAGCAGAAGTCAAAAACAGTTTAAACAAAGATACTTTATTTGCTTTTGCTTTGACTAAAGTTGTTAAGTGTTTTGGGTTTTAGAAGGCTTAGAATAACAAACGACAGACAATAAAGCTCGTAACTTAGACTTAGGCTTAGATGGGGGCGTTTTTAGACCATTTAGCAATATTTACATCCCAAAAACCATAGAAGAGTTAACAGCAACTGCCTATTTAGTGTTATCTAGTTACAAACATTTTTATCAATCAATGTTGTTTTTTCTCTTAGCAGTCAAAGCTGGATAAAATAATTGTTTTGCTTTTGTAGACCTACTCATCAGTCACAAAAAACACAATGTGCAAAAAGTGCACAATAGCTTAGAGTGATTAACATGTGAATTAACGACCTCACCAGAGAAAACACATTATGCATCAGAGAATATGAAAGATTACAAAATACAGCAGATATCAGGACCTTGACTCAAAAAATCCTGAATGAAATCATCCCTATTATTAAATAACTGTATCATTTCACTTTTTCTACAAAAATCCCATAAAGACCAAAAACTATGACAAAGAGAGCAGAGGAGAGTTTGTCAGCTATTATTACTGCAAAACAAATATAGTGATTTTGTTAATATCATGGAGTAGGCTATATTGAATAAAATGGGAAGAAGGGGGTTCAGAAAGCCCTACTGTATGTAATGCAGTAACAGAACAGTAGAAATGTTGTATAACGAAATGATAATAACAAAAAACAGAAATGCGCCTGTTTAACATTTGACTACACATATAACTTAGTATGTTTTTAGTTTTGCCATTAGAATGTCAGTTAGGTTTAGGTCACAGATTGTTCGTTTTGCTGGAAAGCATGCTATTTGGGAAAAAAAATGCTTCTTTTAAAATGCATGAAATTATAACACAAAGGAAAAATAGACGATGATCATTAGAATTAGCCCATTAATAATTAGATTTGGACCTGAATCTGCTGCTGTGTGAAGGCAACAGGTTCAGAATCCTGAAATTAACATGCATATGTACAAACAGTAAATATCATAAACTATGAAAAACAAAATAAAACCATAATTCACTAAGCTCAGGAGAATGGAAAAGATTTCAGGCTTAAAATAATACACACATCACCTGGTCGATTTTTTCACAATTATTAGATGGTAAATGGCTTGTACTTAAATGTTTTTTTTTTTTTTCAATTAAGGAGACTTGATCAAAGCGCTTTGCTCTACATTCACCCACACACTCACAGACTTGAGATAAACGAATTTACCAATTGCTCAAATCCACTTACCTCAACGCACAAAGAGGTAGTCTGTTTCAGATTCTCCTCATTATTTATGCTTCTTTTAAACTTTTATTTTAGTTCCAATTCACAGAAGAGAAAACATTCAAACCAGATTAAACAGCAACCTGATCGCCTAAATCTTCCATGGATCGACATGGTGCGCGCAGAAGCGGGGCGCGCAGCCTTTCCCCTGTGCGCACTGCGGTCCGTTTGGCATTGACGGCTCTCTGACTGCCTTATGATGAGGCTGCCTGGATTACAGAGTGGAAACGCGTCCTCGAACTGAGAAATGATAGTTATTTTAGTCACAACACGGTCGCTATAGTTATATATCCTCTCTGTGCGAATTTGAATATTAAAAGTCTGAAGTCAACAAGAGGAAAAGTTGATCTGAAGCACAATCAAACTATCGGTATTATGAAATTGATGCCATTTTATTTATTTTTCTGGAGTGACATGCATCAAAATCATGGGCGGTTCTAAACAGGGGCCAATGGGGGCCAGTGCCCCTGTAGATCATGTCCTGGCCCCTGTTGTGGCCCCTGTAGACATAATAGACATAATACTAATGAAATTCTAATGATGATATGTGCTGGAACAGACATGGTTACTGATTGATCCTTTGGATCTATTTATTTTTTTCTTAAAAAACATTCTGTTTTACTAATTATTTAAAACTAATAAGGTGATTGCATCAGTGATATTGAGATAGGATCCCAGTTTTCAAAATCTTGCTTTTTTCAAAACAAAAAAAAAACAACAAAAAGATTTACAGCTGAATTTATCAGTTTTTCTTGAGTTCTAATTCTTATTTTATAGAAAACTATAATTTTAACTTAAATGAAGTTAAAAATATATAAAATTCCTAAATGATCAATGTATATTGACCTAATATTCCAAATAATAGCTTTATTTGATATTTTATCTATATATTTATATATCTACAATTTCTTGAGTTGCATTTTTGCTATGCTAAGGGATTTTTACTTTGTTTTTAACGATAATCCAATTGAACATTTTTGAGCAAAAAATAAATATTTTCAGTTAGAAGACATATCATTTTAATTAAACCTAATTGAAGAAATTTCACTTTATGCAGCTCTTTCAATATATTTAAATATCTTGCCTGTTTTTTTTTGTTTTTTTTTTTTGCTTCATGCTTTTCTGTGCCCCCATGAAAAAACGCTGGCCCCTGGAACATTTGGTCTAGAACCGCCACTGATCAAAGCTGGTTTCCTGCCTATATATGCTTAAAATTCTACATGCAAACAAATTTTACCAACTAGTAAAGCATAGAATACATTAGAAACCAACACTAAATTACAAGTATTTTCAATAGCTTCATCACAGCATCTCTTTAATAGCAACTTAAATGATCAATAAGCAATAATTCATTATTTTAGATAGAAAGAACTAGAAAATTGTTATGTAAAGAGCTGGTAATGGTAGCTGGTAAGCTGCCAATCATGGCTTAGCCCCTCTCTTCCTAGAAAGAGCAGAAGGGTGGAAGAGAAAAATAGTGGAGAGAGCCAACAGTTATCCAGCTAACAGCACTAAATAGTTATATACAAAGGCTGATGGGTGCAAATACCCTGCAAATACAAAATAGAACAACCAGATTAAGAAGCATGCAAACTAGCTTTGTGTGAAAAAAAGGGCTCCAGACCATTAGAAGGAAACAATCATGGACCAAACTCCTCATAAAGGCATAAAAGGATACTTTATTCAAATTTCCTATTGATGAGCATCCTATTTATGTCCTTCTAATGGATCTTGTCCATAGACATTAACTGATTATCATCTCCTCCTAGTGGTTTGGATGCCTGCCTTTATGTAGAGCCACTTTGCAGCTTTCTTCAATCGTAGTTTTTTGGGGGGATTTTTTTGCAGCTTGCCACATTTTCCCTTTCCATGTGGTTTGGTTTTCAGTGTTCATATATAGGTTTTGTGTTTGCAAGTCTCATTTAAGGGCTATTGTCAATAAAAGAATGAAATAATACATTGTAATCAATTATCTGAAATATTTTGTGATTAAAATCACATATTTCCCATGAAAAATAAGAACAAAAAAAATAATAATTTTGAGAATAATTTTAAAGATTCTCCAGAAAAGAATGGGAATTTTTTATATTTAAAGTCATATATATGTCAAAATAAACTCAGAAATATCAATGAAATGTGACTGGATATTTTCCAAAGTTTGAATGGTAGAATAAATACAGTCTTTTTTTCTTGTGTGACAATGGTTTTTCTCAGGTGATGACTTGCTATGACTGTACGTCACAAACTGAGTTGCTTATCTACCATTAAAAAAAAAGAGCAGAGGGGACTCCTAACTAGCACGATACTGTAACATCTACTTGATAATGCCATGTTAAAGCTTCTTCCTCACAGTCTCAGGCGGAGCCCCATCTGAGGCGTCCATGCCAAGCCAGATGAAGTCATTCTTATACATACTTATACTCTGAATTATTCACGACAATAAAGGGACCCACAAATGCAGAAAGAGAATATAGACTTCACATAGCACACTGTTTACAAAAGTAAAAATTGATGTGTTTGTCACTTCTAAAGAATTGTACTTCATATCACTAATACCATGCCTCCATTATGTCTTTTATACTATTGTATTTTCCCTCACCCCTTGTTCAAACAAACCCTGTCATCTGTGTGTCCTCAGTTCCATCACATAAGGAAACCATTCTAATCAACACAGTAATTACCTCTGGCTCTGTGGCCGTGGAATCTTACTCATGGTAAAGTATGTTTTCTGAGTTTTAATGGAATAAGTCATTTTACATCAAAATGCTGCCCTATTATGATTTAATAATGTTAAATGGACTAATAGACTTCAGTAAAAAGGAAAAGAAAATGCTAAAATAATCTTACTCAAGGTTAATCTGAAGTCCATCTTTCTTACATAAAATAAAAAGTCCTTTTATTCAGACCGTAAATGACAAAGTGATGTCCTTCGGAAAGAGGATACCTAAAACTAAACCATGTCTTTTTCCTCCTTTGCTGCTGGGAAGGAAACTGTAAACCCAATGAGCATGTGAAGGTGAGCTCTGTTAAAATTAATTTGTTTCAAAGTATTATTTGAGCAGATGAGAGTCAGATTCAAACCTTACAGGACCTTGTACTCAGATAATCTTTTTTTTTACATCAAATACATTGTAGTAAAATCTCACTCAAAATGTTCTCCAAAAAGTGAAAGGAGTGGCAGCAAGTTTTGATCTGTCACCTTTACCCTGCCGAGACCATATAAAATATAGTGCAGCCAACTGCTTTCATAAGTAATCTGAATAGTAATCAGAGTACAGCTGCATGTAATAAACCCAGACATGGATGGATGGATGGATGGATGGATGGATGGATGGATGGATGGATGGATGGATGGATGGATGGATGGATGGAT